CTTGGCAAAAAAGCAAATTTTCAAGTTTTTCACATGCGAAAAAAATATTTTCATTAAAAAAAATTGTCCGTTCTTTTTTCGTATTTGATGTGAAAAAAAAATGCAGCAACGTAAATTATATATGTATATCATGTGCGACAGGTCGGAGGTTAATTTTCTTTTCTGTCTTTTTGATTCTCACGTTGAATCGTGTTCCGGCACTCCTGTTGTATACTCGATTCTAGGTGACCCGCAATTCTGCTGGTTCCGGTGCACTAGTTAGGTGCTTTCTCATACTCTTCACGAAGCTTTCTTCAGGAATCTCACCCGTTTTCCATTTGTATTTATTTATGATTCTAGGCAGTGTTTCATTTCATTTATCTCCCATTTCCTGCTTTGTAAAGCGATTCAGCTAATTGACCGTTTAACTGATCGGCAACTCTCTCTCTCTCTCTCTATATATATATATTTATGAAATTTGAAATATTAAATTTATAGTTCAGTTTCTTGCCAACTTTGTTGTGCAAAGAAAAAATCTTTACTAATAACAGTGAAATTTAAGCGGTTTTTTCTACGTGTATTATAATTATGCTATGTATTTTTGAAATCATTTTGTCTTTTTTTTTTCTTTTTTTCCTTTTCTTTCGCTACAAAGTAGCACTAGTGATTGAAGAATCTATTTTAAAAGGAAAAAGAGTTTTCAAAATCATGCATGAATTGAGGAATTTAGTTATTTATAATTGGACTTTGAATGATTTGGCACCGAAAATGTCCTAATTAAAATTTAAATAAAAGTTAAAAAAATAAATCAGGATTCTTTAAAGGTAAACACAGCACAAAGTAATGAATTTTTTATTCGTACTAAGGTATGGTATTAAAGGGCAAATGTATTCCAGTTTAAAAATTAGATTGAAATGTCATTCGGCATAATTTATATTCCATCTGGGTAGTTACTTATTCGTGAATGTATTTTATTTTAGTATTTAAATTTTTGCCTTTTCTCAAATGAAATTTGTTTTAAGCATATTCAATTATAACAACTTGTTATGTGCATTTATTTACGCATAGGAGATCATCTTTTACTATTTTAACATATAATTCATTACTCTATGCATTGTTTACACACTGATGTTCCATCATTTGGTTATCGTCATTTGAATGTTGTGACAAAATTAAACTAATAAGAGTGTAAATGCTATGAAATCTTTTTTTAAATATAATTCCATTAATATTCTTTATAGATTTTAATTATCCAAGTTTAGAATGAACATGACTACAAATTACTAAAATTGCAAAGAAATCAGACAGAAAGTTTTAAATTTAAAAACTTGAATTTATTATGTTTATCATGTAGATTGTTTTGATCTGAAAGCAATAATAGTCATGAAGGTGTCATTGGTAATCGTTTGCATTTCTGAATAATTCCAATTTAATTGCATTGGGGCTTTTTAATTACATACTATTCTGAATGATGAATGTTTCAGAAAACTTTAAGTATATTTTTGTATTTAAAAAATCAAATGCTCAAAATATTGCTTTATTAGTTTAAAATACAATTATTAAAATGTATGCAAAAAAACCATATGCGCAAGTTAAAATACGCTTAATTTAGGTTTTAAAAAATTGCACCTACTATAAATGTATTATATATGGATGTATTTAATTTTGTTAGTATTTAATTACTAGGTGAAAAAATGAAGATAAAATGTTACAAGTACTCTTACTAAAAAGTAAACTAATTGATAAAAGAATGATATATTTTGTTGATATTTTTGGTTGTTTAAAGAAGCTATGATCTCGTTAAAATTTTTCACTTAATGAATTCTTTTTCAAATAGTCACAAAAAATTTGCCATTTTTTTGATTAGTGTCTTCTTATACGTTCCACATTTTTCGGTTCTCAGCGCAACTTTCAGCGTTATGACCTAATCCAATGATTAGTAGTTTTCTTTCTTTTTTTTCCAATTTAACGTTTACTTTTTCGAGTTTTATGCGCACAAAACAATAGTTTTCCCATTTTATTCTGTCATGTCTCTTTACTTTCTTTGCTCCAAAATTTGTAAAAAAAAGCAATTTATTTTTTTATTTTTTTGCATTCAAAATAGAAAACAAAAGAAAGTAAAAACAAATAACGTTTGTAACAGACAAAAAATGAATGATTAAAATGAATAAAAAAAAATTGCACACTGTCACTTTTGCTTTTGTGTATGAATGCATTATTTACAGTATCCTTTATTAATTTTGTAACCTATCTATGATTTTTTTTAACAAAAGAATTTTTAACAAAATAAATTTTAGAATTTTTTGTTTTTTTAATTTTTTACGATAATTGCTGTCGTATTTTGTGATCTAAAGAGAAGGCATGGTCTAGAATTCGTGACAGTATTCAATTTTTATATTAGGTAGAATTTTTTTCTAGTTTTGCTTTAGAATATAGCAAGATTGTTTAACTGGTTGTTTAGATGTTTGATTTTTTTAAAAACGAAGCATGTACGAAATGAAAGAGTCAAAGTTCAAAAAAATACCGAATTAGAATTGACAAATGTGGTTTAAAAAAAAACCATATCTGATAATTGACTAAGCCTCGGTAGTGTTACCAAATTATTTTTAAAATTTTGTCAACTCATCACATTAATAATTTTACTGCATAATAAAAAATTCGCTTCATTTTATATTTTAGCGTAAATCATGTAATTCACTTTCATATTTGATATTGTAAAATCAATTGATACCAATAATTTAATCATCAATAAATGAGCATCACTATCATATTAATATCATTATTACTACTATTATTTTCATTAAAATGTTTGCATTTTTTGCTTCAAATAGTTTGTAAATATCGCTTATAAGATATTCCAAAGAGTTATCAATGAAATAATTCTTATAAAATAAAATGTCATCAAAAGTTCTTACTTGAATTTTTTCACTATTATATTTCATGAATAATTTAGTAAAATTTTTTCAAAGTACTTTAGTATACTGTTAAAAATTAGTTGATTGCCAAATAATTATGTTAAGTAATACAAATGCGGATATATTTGCAAGTTTTCCTGTGCATACTACGGGTTTAAAAAAAAAAGTTACTAAAAAAATGAATGAATGATATTTGTGATACTGAATGATGTTCTTGTTTCATAAAGCTTGTTTTCATATCTGATTCAAACATTTTTCACAGTTTCAATCAAATTTTTGCATTTTTCTGTACTTATTTTTAATGATTAATACATTTTGACTAAGGCGTGCAAAATAACGTTATTATTTACATTTTGAAGTTCTTCTTAACACTGTATTTTGCGCTGTAAAAGTTATCCAAATTACTTTCAAAAGCTCTATAGTAGTATGCAATGTTCAGTGCATGCTTATATACTCTGAATCATAATTAATTTTCTAATCAGAAATCAGTACAATGTTTTTTCGTAAGCTTCCTGCCCACATATTAATTTGTATCAAAGTTTTATGACACGCATTTAGGATTATATTTATACATTTAATAAAATTAGCAATTGTTAACGGTTGAGCGATAATTGTTAGTTTTATAATTACTATAATTATTTACCAAAGTACTTCATAAATGATTCTTCCAATTATAGATTATAAAAAGGAAAGAAAGATATTGCAGAAAGTGCATTGCACAAAATAAAAAGGATGAGAAGGTCACTGAGGTCAAAAAGTGATGATAATTGTTGTAAATTTTTGTGCAAGCGAGATATTGCTATTTTTTTAAAATCCAGAAAATGGGCTTTCATAGTGAAAGAACATCCAAATCGTCCTTTTTATTTATTGCGCAGCGCAAAAAATTCATTTATTTAGTTCTTCTTTGCATAGGTATGATCCGTTTTTTCAGAATTTTTTACTCACTAGATTTATTTTCTAGCAATGACTTGATTTCTCTATCTAAAATGAGTGATCTTTCTTGATAAATTCAATTTATAGATTCGCGCTGTCGTATTTTTCAACGATGTTAAGTGCAATTCGAATCACAAATAAGTTTAATATTAAGCGTAAAATTTCATTAATTACACTTCATTTAGCATTCAATCTTTTTGCTTTTTCAACTTGATAACAATTTAGTTCTCGCTGTGATAACCAAAAATTGTTAACTTTGGTGAACAGATTGAATTTAGCAACTGCTCATGAAATATTGCAGTATTCAAACATGCAATGGATGTTGAGATAAAAGTCTAGAAAAATTAACAGATGAAAACTGCCAAGTGAAATTGTTATCGTTGTAATATTTGAATAAATTTAATTTACGAATACTGTGTGATTTGTTGTACTTTTATTTGTATCTAGCAAATTCTCAACAAATGTCATAGCATCAAAAAAGACAAATTTTTACTAAACTTGATTCTATTTTACATTGTTATTTAAAATAATAGAAAACTACATAGTAATTTTTTTAATTTTTCAATTTCAAGAGTAGTAGTTTCCATATAATGCAGTCTTGAAATTGTATTATTATAATTATGCTTTCTTAATATTTTATCTTTAACTTTTTATAAAAATTATTCGTAAACTTGCGAAAACTTTTCCTTCTGTAATCTTTTTCACGAAAAATACTTATTCTCAACTAATGGTAACTGACTAATTATACAAACTCAAAAAAGGTCAATGTTTTTTCAAATTCAAAAAAGATCAATGTTTACTCCTTGCTTGTAAGCAATTTGTTTTGCTGCTAATATAATTAAAGTTTTCTTCACAGCTTAACACTTTGAACGACGAATCTGATAATTATTTTGGCAGAAAAAAATTTACTTATATTTGCATGATATAAAACTTGTTTAAGAATCGAATAGCTTCACAAATTTATTCATTAAATGCATAATAATTATCATTTCTTCATTGCTGTTATAATAAACAACTTTTGAAATTATAATAGCTTTGTATTTAAATATTTGCAATATTAAGAAAGCAATATACTTTCAACAACAATACTTCACAGATATGTTTATTGTTTTGTTTTTTCGATTATTTTTAGTAATTAAAGATAAAAATAGTTTGATTGTTACGATTTTTAGAATGAAAAAATGCGATTTTTTCGCTCTTGCCCTTTGCCTTCTTCTCAGTTATTCCAAGTCTCAAAAACCGTAAGTCTATAGTTTTTTATTATTGTATCGAAAATGAGATAGATAGCAAGCATATATTGTCAGATAGCTAATTAAAATATTGCTATATTTAAAACAAAAAAAAGTTTTTTTTAAAATTTATATTCATAAAAATAATAGTATTTGGCATGTTGCAGCAATGGTGAAAATGAACTCGATTTTGATGATCAAAAGGTTGTAAGTAAGTGAAAGTTTTTTTAGAAATAACTTTGAAAAAACACTGGGTTTCAAGCTTAATGACCGAAAAATTTTAAGTTTTTCTAGTCGCAAATGAATTATTCACTTATGTGCTTATTTATTACCTGTAAATCTTTAAAAGTATAACATAGAAATGTTCATAAAATTATATATGTTCATTCTAAAATATTATCAAATAGAATTGTTCTTATGAAATAATTTAAAATCTAAGCTTCATTTTTTATCAGCTTTATCTGTAATGTAATTAAATGAGACTAACATTGCCAAAAAAAATTTTCAGTTTTTTCATACTTATCATTCCATTATTATTATATTATTTATGATAGTTTACCTTATGCAAGATTTATTTTGTGACTAATTTGATAATTTTAAATTCATTTTTTCAGCATTGGGTCCACCAAGAGATGGTTTTCAACGAGCAATATTTGATGAAGTAGCAATGAACGATATCAATAGGTTGTCTGGTTAGTTTTTTCCTTTTTCTCTAATTAAAAATCATAACAAAAAAGATCATTTCTTTTTTTTGTTTCAAACATTTGTTTGACATTTTTATCAGACGAATACTTCACTAAATTAGTAAATTGCTTCTAATGAAGAATTCGAAAAATTGTTTTTTTCTTTTTTTTTTTTGCTTCTTTAGTTTTATAAAACCTTCAAAATTCTATAAAATAAAGTATAACTTAACTGTTAAAAAAATGGCAAATACATGAAAAATCTTTCTCATTTTACTGCTTTTCATCTGCTGTTTGAATATTATTAAATCGTTGCTTACATTTGATAAGGTGATAAAAGCACTTGTATCGCTTTGAAAAGTCAAATTTTGATATAAAATTTATCTGACAGCTTTTGTACATTTTTTCTTCTTTATTTGTGCTATCACTTATGTCATAAATCATTAATTTTTTACTTCTGTAATCAAAAAAATTTAATTTTTGTGATATTATAGCAGAAGATATTACGCTCGTAAAAAATGATATTGGCGCATATGACGATAAATTCGTTGATTTACGAGAAGGTAAGTAGTATCTAAAAAAATTTGTCTGAACAGAAAAAGTTGAAGGGGTAAAATTTTTTGATTCTTATTTATGGCGTCTTTTTTCACCATTATCACTTTTTATGATTACAATATTTGTTTCTAAATGCTTTATATTTTGACGTTTTTTTCTATTTCCTGTAATTCAAAAAATTTAATTTATTGGTAAACTGACAACTTTGCCAAAATTTAGTAGAATATTATAAAAAGGTTTTTTCAGAAGAACCATTATTCATACCAAAAGCATATCGAAATGATATACACAAAGGTGAAAAAACAAAATCAACGGTCAAAGTAAATAGAGTAGTTACTGATACACCACCCAAGCAGGGAAACACGCTTGCACGAACTCTACAATCGAATATTAGTCGAACTTCATTACTTCCTCTTATTACGTGCGTCAGTCACGCTAATTGAACTATTTTTGCGCAATATTTAATGAGCATCTATGAAACTTACAATAGAAACTTTCAAGTTATTTTATGACAAAATTATGATGACAGTGAGATTGATATTTTTTAGATAACAAAGTATTTCAAAAAATCTCTGGAGGATATTACATTTTCTTGAAAATTTTTTTAATTCTAAAAAATTTTCAATGCAAGAAATTTTTTGACTTCTACATCAAAACAATTTACATTTGCATGATATGAAATCAATTATATTGATCGAATTTATTAAATAAAAACTAACGTTTGCATAGTCTTCGCCTTTTAAATAATCAGTTATTAAATACAATTTTATGAATAATGTTGAAATTATTACATATCATTTATTAATGCCTTTCATTATTTCAGACGACCACCAGTTACTACGCAGGTACGATTTTCATCAAGCAAGATGCTTGTATCTTTTGCAGTTATGAATCTAAAAAAATCCACCTCTACTACTTCAGTCTGTATACTCTATGCACATCCTTCATATACTCGATCAAGTTTACTTAGTAATACTTCAAGTTTTAGTTACCATTCCAATCGCCCCAAACACAATTCTTTTTGCGTCCGCAATTTTCACTTCGACCTCCAATATCACCTCCGCGAATTATTACTCAACAACAACTGCCAACCAGAATATCATTCAGGTGAAATTTCATGCTATTTTTTTACCTTTTTTCATCTAACAACCGATTTGTCAGAAAATCATTTCAAAGCAAAATTTGAATGTTGCGTCAAGATTATACAGAGTATAGTACTGAATATGAATTTAGACCGCAAATAATACCAAAAGAGACACTTTTGTTCCCTCAGTCCTCTCAATTTTTTCAACGACAACAAGTAAGCAATTTGTCAGCACTTAATTTTGTCAAATAACGCAAATTTTTTCGTTTTTGAAATTTTTGTTAACGAATGCTTCAGACTACTATTAACTTTTTTTCTGATATTTAACAAATAAATCATATTCAAGCAAATGTGGTACAAATAAAATTCATCCTTTAAGCAGTACAAAATTTCGCTCATTGCATTGTAGCGGTTGCTTTTCTCCCTCGTTTAGTACCACTAACTTATCTATTAAATATTGCTTCACACACATTTAACCCAGTTATTTGCATGCGTACTTGCAAAAATATAGCACTTTTTTCGCGTTATCTACAATATACTTCAATAATTCATCTCTTATCGAACATATATTTTTTGAAATTTGATCTAATTTAAGAAAGTAAAATTAAGCTAAGCAAAAAAATATGAAAATGAGAAGATAAATTAGGCATTAATTTTTCCAATATTTTGGTTTTTCTAACAAAATATATATAAACTTAATAATGTAATCATTTGAAGCATTTTCGAAACGGTTTCATATTTACAACACCACAACCAACGCTATCGCCTCTGCAGTCAGCATCTGTAGGAGCTGATAACAGGCAAGGTCCGCTGATATTGCCAGTGAGATCAAGGCAGCAACCTTCACGACTCACTATTCGACCTCCAATATCGTCTCTAATAACTTCTGATTCCTTAAGAACAGGAGGTAATTTTATTTTATTCTTTTTAAATTATTTCAAATTTGATGTACTGTAAGAGTTATATATATGTTGTATTTTTGATTTATCTTTGCGGTAAAAATCTATTTTTACTCTTTCATTGCAATCAATGACTTATCTGTTAGTTGCGATGTTTGAATGTGATTGGATTTATATAATATCTGTGATCGATTAAAATTATCTTTTTGATTTAAAATCAAGTATTTAGCGTTATTAAGTGGAATCTCTGAATTTCAGTATGTCATGCGTCAATTTTTTACATTTCAACACCAATGCAAGGCTCAACAAGAAATTCATTCACTCATTTTGCTATTACTGTATCAGTAGATCAGTGCGCAAGAACTTGTCATGAATTCAATTGTGCAGTAAGCAATTAAGAACTCTTTTTTGTAATAAGAAAATTCAAATTTTTATTAGAAAGAAAAAGTATTAGTGTGGGAAATTTTATATCATTTTAGATAGCACACTATGACCCAAGCACTGGCCACTGTCAGTTTAATCCATCGACCGCTTTTTCAATAAGAGAAGGACAATGTCCACCATGGCCTGCTACTCACTATAAGTTCGTTTTCTCAGTATTTGAAAAATCTAGAACTATCTTTTCATCAATATTAATGCAACTTTTTTCATTACATAAAGCTTTAAGAATTATAATTTGATTATTTATATGCGCTAGTTTAAGCTGAATATTTATTTATCTTACAAATTATTCCTTCAGAACCATGTAATGATAAATATCATTCTTATAGCTATTTTAAGTAGTAAAACTAGTTTTTGCCACTTTATCTCTTTTGCCTTTCACTTAAATGCATTTTGACATTTTTTAGTTAGCACTTAATTCCTATAATACATATCAGAATATCAAGTTCTAGAAACTTATCTGTTTAATACCAGCTTGCATTTAATTGTAGCAATTTGTGTGTAAATCATTATTTAAAACGATTTGTTTGCGTATGTAATTCATTACCAAACATATATGCAAAAACTGAGACATATTTCTATAATTCTGAAAAATAAATAAATTAGAAAACTTCGTCAAAAAATAAATGAATTGCAAATCAATTTGCCTAACAATAAATATTAGTATTGTATTCATTATAAAAGATTAACTCGTGACAGAAATAAGCAATAATAGCAACAATACTACATATCGTGAAAAAATTAACATAAAGTTGTATAAATATATTTTATTAAGCAAAATCACCACAAAAAAGTTGTAAAAAACCATTGAAGGAAGTGTGATATATTTTCAGGAAGCAGTAAGATATTTCAAATAATTGAAGAAGCAAATAGACTATATTTGTCTCATATATTCCATTAACATCACTTTTATGAATAGTTTTAGGAATAATGTTCGATCAACTATTCCCCTACGAATATTTTGTGTTCAGTGTCATCGACCAAGTAAAAACTTTATAGTTACTATTTAGAAAAATTAAAAGTTATATTGTTTTTTTGATTCAGAGTAATCTTTCAGGAATGTTTTTAGAAAGGAAATGAAATATAATGGAGTGAAGTTAAGTCATAAAAACTACTTAAAAGTTATGCCAATTCAATTATTGTACTTTAGTTATAATAAAGTTTACTTACAAGAAAGTATGAAAAGTAATATTTAATTGAAACATATGATTATTTTTAGTTCGAAGAGGGCGAATAAGTAACACCGGAAATCGTTTTAGGACAGCTATTTTAAACTCACTCTTTACTGGAAGGTGCACGAAAATGAGTTTTTAAATTTAAGTTCAAGTGTTGTTGCACTTTTCATTTTGCAAAAAATTTAAAAGCTTTTTAATTAAAAAAATTTAACCTAAAGTGCAATTGAAAATTGACTTTGAATACAGTAAATCGATTAATTTGCTAATTTTCGCCATTTATATGTAGTAAAATGCAAAACAGTAGTTTATAAACTTCAAGATTTTATCAATAAAATTCTATAACCAATTCATATCACAGTATTGAGAGCTTATTCAGGTTGTCTAATTCTCTACGAGGTCGTGCATTAGCACGAGCACATTCAGTACCTATAGCACATCCAGATGTAATCTTTGAATCATCCGTCCATAATACTGACTCCCAGTCAGAAGAAAAGCAACAAAACATAACTCAACAAAACCACAAATCATGGCAGGAACTTCACCGGAATTCCAGTAATCAATATGGACATTATGGAACAAATAAGAAAACGAGACACGAAGCTACCGATCATCGCAGAAGAAGTCAATCACAGACTAATCGACTAGTTATGAAGTGAGCATTTTTTTAGGAATTATTTTAAACCTAAACATGTCATTTTTATATATGTGTAAAATTAACCAATACAGATGGCTAAAGGTAATGAGACAATTTAAATTAAAGTATGGCGATTTCTGAATTCACTCATTCTTTAGAATATAATGAAATTGTGAGTAAACACGGAACAGTTGATAAAATAAGTGTACAATATTGAACTTGAAACTTTTTAACATTTTAATGCATAGAATTTTCTCAACTTCTTATGCTTTTTCTCATCCTTCTAAACAGTAAGCTCTCATAATAGCACAGCACAAATGATGCTTAGTTGATTTGAAAATAATGAGACGAAGAAAATTTATAATTAGAAATGTGAGCTGAATTTGGAAATTACATGAATACATTATTCCTCCATGATTTTATCATTTTGATGCTTCTTTTCTAAATTAATTTTGTTCTTATTGTAGGATAGAGCCATTTACTAGAAGTGAAAACGAGCGTTAATAAGCAAACGATCAATCTCAGCACAATTTTTCTAAGGTCATCATGCCTTTTAAGCAAAATTATTCATCCAATTTGATTTATTTATTTTTTCATAAGACTACAATCTTAGCTAGATAAACGATTGATTTCAAGTCAGATAAAAACATTTACCTCATTTTGATAGCGAAACAGAAGTGAAAAGTTTTTCATGTCAAAAAATTGTTCTGCAGAAATTTTAGTATGTGTTTACTTACATTATTTACGGAATTATCTTTTATTTTGCACAATTATTGTTTAGTTATGTCATCTTAATGGCATTTATGAGAGCTAAACGTTGTGAACTTGTACGAAGATGCGTTGAAAAATGTGTTATACGATCATGCAATTATCAAATATATATAATTTCTGTTTCCAGAGATATTCTTGCTGAAAAATTTCACAGACAGAAAGCTGTGAAAGAGATTCTAAGCCTTTGCATTTGTTCTAATTATCATTTCTACATCATATTCGTTTTGTAAAGACCAAAAAAACATCTCAATACTGATGCAGCACCAATGTGAAATATTTTTTGAATGTTATATAGCTTGAAACTTGAGTATTTTTAAAATTAACAAAATTAGTTTTACTACGATTAGCCTATTTCTAAGCTATGCTAATGAAATACTCTGGCGAAAAATGTTATACTCAACAACTTTCTACATTTACTTTGCCAATAAAATTTGCTTTTAACACAAGATATACTTAGCAGAAATACAATGTGAACTTGTACAAAGCTGCGTGTATGTGAGTATAGTCATTTTTCATTGTTACATACACAGATACCAAATCAAGTCATCTCCACAGTCACGCATCTACATTTACGTACCCATTCACTCATACTCATGCATCTTCACTTACGTGTCTATACTCACACATCCACGCATTAGCATATAACATTGTCCTTTACGTATTGCATGTGATCAAAGAATGATAATTCCAAATTGATTCTGCTCCTCATTATAACAATTTGCTAAACAATCATGTACCATGTATTCTGTTATGTTTTGCTCGGAAAGAATAATTCATCCATGCACATAATACCCATAGGCAAAATATATTTACAATTAACAGAATTTATATTTTTCTGGCTTTTTCTTTCTTAATTGATGCTTGAAATATTGGTGACATGAAATTGCTAGAAAATTTAAGAGATTATATTTCATACACTGACGCCACAGAACAACACTGTTTATGATTTATTCTACTTGCAATCTAACTTTAATTTTACTAAGCAATTTAATACAATGAAAACAAAGATATTCATTACTACATTCTATAAATGGCTAATTTTCTATCCTTTTGTAATCATCATCCGGACATGAATGTTAGTGAGCACACAAAATTACATTAAGAGTGATTACTCTGTCACTGTTACTCATTTTAGGATCATTATTACTTTCATTACAATTACCAATCGAAAATTTAAAAAAAATGTCCATCATGTATTAACAATAAACAATTATCTATCCACGTATATTCACTCAAAAATCTTACACTACAATACAAGTGCACACGTTCGAAAATTGTGCACAAATATATGCAGCGATCACATACGCGTATGCTTCTATACTTTCATTTAGAATAAATATTTAAACGAAAATTCACTGCACAATCCACCTCACACTTCCTATCCAGCAATCACTTACAGTGAGAAATAATTTGCATATCATTTGTAGAGTGGAAATGAAAATCACAAAAGTTCATACGTTGAAACGACTAGCCTTCCTTTCCGTAATTCACTAAAACTATTCACATCAAAGGCTTGAGGTAAGTTACCATTCCAATAAGACAAGTACTGCAAATTACAAGGATATTACTAAATAATTTTGTCAACGTACCTCTATGTAAAGCAATCTCTCGAAACTGTTGAGATTCAGCATTATCAACAATTGAAGAGGCAACTAACAAATCAAATCAGTAGATTTTTTTAGTCCCATAATTGAAGTGGAAAAGAGGCGTATCCTTGCAAAATACTTATCATTAATAACTGCATTAAGCACATCATCTTTTTTTGGAGGTTGGTTGAATTTATATAAGGCAAGGAAAAGTTGCACATTAATTGCATGTATGCAACAATTATTATAAGGAATTCAATATATTCCTCATTAAATGAAATTATGACATCTTATATTAAGTACAATAAGATTCAGCAAGCATTAACAAGCACATTTGGGAATGAATGAAAAAATTTAAATTTCAGTGGCAAAAAATTGTTCAAAAAAAATGAAAGATTTTTACACTTCAGCGAAAAAGGACAAATTCCAAATGAAATTCCCAGCATGAATAAGTTCTACCAATGCTTTTTAAAATTCTTATAATTTAAGGACAATGCGAGTACAAAAAATGTAATTCTTTCCTTAATTTTGCATTCGTTGGAAGTATTGCATGATAAAAATTGTGATTATGCCTCTTTACCATATTTTTCATACACTTTTATTACAACTTTATTCATCATGCAAATATTCAATTTTTCGCTCTTTCCATTAATTGTGATTGATTACATTTTCAAAACATGACTATATAGACTTCATTTCACTTTCCGTACTCCTTACTACCGTTGTTATTTTGTATATCTTTATTATAATTTCAATGTTTTGTAACAATTTCTTTGCCATCTGCTACCTAACAAACCCAAGGTGGAGACGAAATGTGGAATGAGGATAATTCCGTAAATGAAATGGGTTGGAATACAAGCTTCCATAAATGTTGCGCGAAAAAAATCTGTGTATCTGTTCACGTTGAGTCAATAAAGCAAAGAAGGTTAAGCTCCGTGTGATACTGATTTATTCATTGATCATACAAGAATAATGTTCATAATGATAATTATACAAATTAATCTGAAAAATCGCAATGATACTGACAATAGAAATGATGAAAGTAAAGAAATATTAACAATGAAAATAATAGATATGATAAATATACATGATAAACTGATAAGACAAAAAACATCAAAAAACATTCAAAAAAAATGCAAAGAAAAAACAATACAGTACGGAAAAGAATTAGAAACATTACTTTCTTGACATTCATTGTCGATGTCTGCTTCTCAGTACGAGTTTTCTTTGCATTGTGGGAGGGGCCATTGCAGAGGTGG